TACGTGTTTCATTCTAAGACCCAGTGTGACAGCATTTCCTACCTCTTAACCTATTTTGCTTTTAAAATTCAGGGCAGTTTTTCCCCCTCAAGTGTTTCAGTGGCAGAAGAGAATTTGCCCATGAAAACAGACCTTTACCCTCTTAAATCACACGGGATTCGCTGCTGCTCTCATGCTTGCAGAGTACCTGGTACTGTCTAGGCAGTCTGAGTTTAGAGTTTGATACACATTGTAGTAAGCATAATCATTTCTATGTGGGCTCTTACTCCCCCTCTTGCACCTCAGTATGTACTAGAAGATTTCCAGTGTTCAGAGAAGGGAGAGGGTTCCTCCAGAACAGTGACACCTGGACCCTGAGGGGCACTTTCAGGTGCTACACTAATGCTGAGTGATTATCAATTACACCTGAAAAACAACAGTATCTGAAAAGAGAAAGCATGGTGTACAACTCAACTGTTTATCAAATACCGTAGTAGTATTTCTGCCACTTCTGTCTTGTGATGAATACGCTGTTTATTAGACTGTCCGTTGAATACACTGAGTCATGGTCAAAATTTGTTCAATCCGAATTAAGTAGACAGTTTTGGCACATTTATTAAGTAATGATTGAAAGTAATAATAAAAGCTCTCCTGATTATATTCTTTCCATAAAGACTGTGAAATACTGAAGTTAATGGTATTAAAAACACACAAGGATGATGAAAATGCACAAAAACATGTATGTCTGGAAATTAAAGTACAGCACAAGTGTTAGATCCACAAGAACAAAATTCGCATGTACTGTGATATATAAACACAGATAGTTCTGGAATAGGATACCTGTGGCATTACAACAAAATATGGTGGCATTTAGCTATTTTTATGTTATTGAGCTGGAACATGTGAATTAATGGGTGTCTTTGAGGGAAAAAAAATAGTGTTGTAACTCTACCTCTAGGAAAGGGTTCTTTGTTAATTAATATCTGTTTGAGGTTTCTTGTGTTTTGAATAGGTTAATTTTCCTAGTCTTATTCTCTCAAACCAGGAACCATGCCACAACTACTTAATAAATGTGCCAATGTGTGAAAGTCATTTTTCAGAGATGAGTGAAAATGGAAATTAAGTCAATGGGGTTACACCAGCAGTGAATTTGTCTCAAGGCAGTAGTAGGGAAATATTTCTGGAAGTGGAACCTTATCTCTGATTATTTTGCTCCTGCTAAATCTACCAGAAGAATAGTTTGCTCTGCTGTTTTGCTCTGAAGGCAGAATCTTTCTTAGGACAGCTATTAGTTAAATCCTTTGAAGGAAAAAATTCTCTGAATTAAAGTAACAGAGGCATGTACTAAGGTGCTAATGAGACTTGGTCATGCAAAGAAAAAGGTGTTAAATCTGCATTGTTGAAATGCTTAGCAAGCAAATATTATCATCTTACAGTCAAGCGGTAGCCATGCTTCCATTGACATTACTCAACATTTACACCACTCTGAACTGCAGTGGGATTTCTTCTGTAGTTAGTGCTAAAATCATGACTCTTTTCTCCTTCATGCTTATTGTAAAGCAGCAGGAAAATAACTGAGATAAGAGAAGTTAACTGGTACCTGAATTTTCTTCTGTAAATATAATGCATTAATTTATTAAGTACATATAGTTTCAGAAAATGCATTTGGAATGGAAGCAAGTTATTGTGGAATGTTTTCTACAGTATAAAGAATAGTCCTTAACTTTTAAATTTCGTTACTTTTCTCTATATTAAAGCAAGTTTACTGCTTTTTCAATATAAGTCCTTATGTTTTGAATTAAATTAATGATACCTTTTTTATGGTGAAGGCAGGGGGTTTTCTCATCCCAAACATATTTTCAAATAGCTAACAAAGCGTTCAAAGTACTAAAACCACAGAAAATATGTTAACAGTTACACTTGTTAATAGATTTTAAGACCATGTAAACAGTGGCTGAGATAGACCCTATAGCCCAGCCATTCCCTTATCCTTCCAGCTAGCTTGCTGCCTTTTTCTGGTGAACCTCTGGAAGGACAATTTGAGCCGTGATGCCTGGCTGTGCGGCTGGATGCTGTACCTGCATGCGTGAGCAGCTCTGTTGGAGGCGACAGTTCTGGTTTCCGCTGCACCTCAGGGGCAGGGCAGGGAGGAGGAGGCCTGGCTCCCTTACAGGCAGCACCTGGCAGGATGAGGGGGCTGTTGTTGTCGTTACAGGATCTTATAGGGGGGTCTCCAGACTGGACACCAGCTTGCACAGCTGCCAGAGCTGCGATGCAGTGACTAGATTTTAGGTCTACAAAATGTGCACTGTGAGTCTTCTAGCACTTTCTTTCCAAAGGCTAAATTTGATGCAGTTCATAGGAAAAAAAAAAAAAAAAAACCACACTCAGAATATACTTTAGTTTAAACGTGCAACCGATTAAGAATTGAATAGTGTTATTGAGCTGGAGTTACTATAGCCCCTCAGAATAAGGGATGCTGTACTGTTCCACTGTTAACACCTTATCTATAAAAAGCCTGGTTTATTGATTTGAAGTATCTAATACTGATTTGATCTTCTCATGCTTAAGTGTGTGCACAGGAGAAGTGCTAGAACTGGTGAGCATTAACACATCCAGAATGCTAATACCGTGTTGACTGTGTTTATTTTAGTTTTCCTACTGAGCTTTTCCCAATAGCTCCAAAGCCTTTATTTATTGTAAGAAGCATCTTGTGTGTCTAGGGATGTGTGCTGGCATGAATATTATTGCCTGGAATACTAGGCCAGTTCCAGGAAAGAAATCTGTTTGGGGCGGCCATCCAGATTTCCTTTTACTCAGAGCTAAGGGGCATAGCCTTTGGCTGCTGGTGGAGTGATCGTCACCTTGTTCAGCCAGAGGACTGAGATGGTGAGACACGCTGTAGCACTTTAAGTGAGGTCCAGAAAGGAAAAAGGAATATTGGTCTGTTCTGGATGTGTGTTACCGAGTAAAGCAGAAAGTCTCCCTCATCTGATTTATCTACTTGTACCGAGTCCTGGCCAGTGGCAGATACTGCCCTAGAAGAGTAAAAGCTACAGCAAATCATGGTTTATTTTTTTATACACACACTTAATTTACTATATGCTAGAGACTGAAGTAAGCACCATAAGTGATAAGCAACTATTAATGTGTTCATATTACATACAGATGCAGATGTAAATAGCGTTTCAGGCTGTTGTTGAATGTTTTTTCATGTATTTGTATGGGGAAAAGAAAACTTCAGTTTGCTCAAACAAACCATTTATAAAAGAGAATGTGGTATTAACATCTGTACTACATCTGATATTAATAATATTGCTGAAAAGCCAATAATGCAGATGACCAATTAAATATTAAGTGCAAAGAAAGAAAAAATCTCTGAGGACAAGATTTGTGTCTGAATTGCAGCACACCAGTAAGATTCAAATCCTAATGTACGCATTTAATGTTACGCTTTTTATAATCAGGAGTGTTTTTACATGATATACAGTGAGTAGTTTCTAAGATCTCACATTACCACAAAACCTATTCAGTAACCTTTAAGTTTAACATTGCAGTACAGAGATTTTTTTATCTCTGCTATGACTATTCTGTTCCAAATGACTGGCTGTATTTCTACCACAGCATGCAAAATTGTGAGAAATAAAAATAATTTATCATTTGATAGTTAAGATGTGATTTTCCTCTTACCTCTGCTTTCAAATATGGACACATACAACTGAATTTATGAATTCAGAAATAAGATTTTTAATAAGTACTCATAAATACTAATTGATCAGAACTTTTTTAAGTTATCAAAAATCTGATTAAATTATTCTAAAATATACAATAATCATACCTGATTATTTCATTCATAAAATGTGATGTAGCTTAGATTACTAATTTTTTTCCCAATTTTCCTGTCCTTTTCATCCTGCATAATACACTCTCATGGTGATTGCTGTATGCAAATTCCTAGCACAGCTGTACTGAAGGTGATTCAGAGTTGTTTCACTGACCTCAGCAACAGCTTCATCAGGCCCTCACCCTCTCTGATCTTGTCTTCATTGCGCAGAAGAACTGATGTGAGGCTTCTCATATATCTGTGCCATTGCTAACCCTGCCCTACATTTATATATAGTTACACTTACATTTATGCTGTATATATATATAAATTCTCATAAGCTGCTCTTGTTTTATTTTCACAAGCATTACATGGCTTTCAGGCACAATTTTGAAAAAAAAAATCTTAGTTCATTTAAATATGAAAAAGTTATAATAATCAACAGAATTTCTATTTAATGTCTTCAGTATGACCATTTAAAAAATTTATTGCACTTTCATTTTAGGAGATTTTAAGTTCTGGAAGTTAGTGTTATATAAAATAATTTCTAAATATCAGACAGGAATAGATGTTATAAAGACTTCCTTTCTGGTCAGTACCATGCATACAAAGCGTATGTGGAAGAATGCAGTGCCATCTCTGAGCACTGAATAAGCAATAAAGTCATAGAAACACTAATAAACCCAGTTAAATGACTGTATGTAGTATAGAATTAACCTTGTTCAGTGAAACTGGTCCTTCAGAGAAGACTTTCACAAATAACAACAATATCACTGGTTTTGCATTCACTGTAGTGTTTTTAACTACTGATGCACATTTTATTTGTAGTAACCTGAATTATGAGTTGTGTGGTGGGAGATGAGGACTTGACAAGCTCTGTAAGTTGTGCTATTCAAGTTATCTTTATACATCTACTTGGCCTGTACTTTCATCGTTTCATTCTCATAAGGGCATAATGTAGCCCATATCTGAAGTCTCCAGCTGGTATAATATGGAAATATTAAAAGTCCATAATGTGTGAAATGCTCAGACATGCAACTGTATAAATGTGGCTTACTCCAAAATAGTATCAGTAGCCAATTAGATTACGTGCAATGATGCAAATGGTGCTAGTAGTCTTGCGTGTTTTCCCTGTACTTCTCCATCACGCTTTATTACTGTATCTTCTGAATTCTCCCTTCGTTTTCTTTCAACAAAGGCAAGTATGCCATGAGGGATCTGGTCCACCGACTGCCAGGCGCTAACAACAGCAACAGCTCAGCAAGCAAGGCCATGTCTGATGACACCGTTACTGCCATTTGCTGCACTCTGCATGAAGTCATCACTAAAAACATGGAGAATGCCAAGGCCTTACGAGACGCAGGCGGCATTGAGAAACTGGTTGGCATATCTAAGAGTAAAGGAGACAAGTATGTTTTGCAAATCACCTTGCACCTTTTTTTAACATCTCCAGTAGTTATTACTAGTCCTGAATGTGTTTGCCTCCTCTGTGCAATCGTGAGTCAAATACTTTAGTTTCATCAGAACTCGTGTGCCCAGTGTGAAAGGTGACAAGAAACAGACAACACCAATAGCAAAAGCTTCTGCTGTGGTTTATTTCTGACGTACCATCAGCATTGCACAGAGTGGACTGCATGTGCAGTTTAAGGAAAAGTTAATTATCTACAGTAGCTGCTACCTCTAAGCAGTTCCAGAAGCTCCTGAAAAACATTAGGGACCAGAGTGTTGGATTGCACCCTGCAGAAGCAGTGACATGCTGGTGGAGGGATCCTGTGAAAGAAAGGGACCTCACTGCAGTTCTGTTACTGCTCCTCTTGCTCTCGAAATGAAAAATGTAGAGTCACTGTCCCTCTTCACAGCACCCTTTTCTTTACCACTAGCTTTCTGGGAAGGTGGGGCATAGCAGAAACATGGGTCCATGGATTTTCCCAACACCTTGCTTCTGAGAGAGCATTAGGATACCAACAGGCTACTTTGTGAGTCACGAAAACATGCCAAAATCTTACACACGACTGTGACATTTTCAGAGCAGCTATGGTTTCATCTTGTCTGTTTTCCTATGTACGCACTCTTCATGAAGAGTTCACTCTTTATCCTTCTTTTGCCTAAAACAGATAGCCTGGTTCTCATATTTGTCAACCTGCAGAAGTATAGTGCAATGGGACTATGGCAGTTTGAAAACAAAAAGCCTTCACTGTAGTGTACAAAACCCATCAGTCCACCTACTCGAAGCTGTCATCATGCAGCCTACTGCAGCATCAGAGCTCTAAAAGAGCCCCACAAAGCCAGGCCACAACCTGAAGGAAAGATTTATGCACCTTACATTTGGTATGAGAACTTATGCTCGCCTATGTGATCAGAGCATTGCCAATATAATTTAATCACATTTCTTTTCTTCTATTGTCACCCTTTTCTTTTCATACCAAATTCATTACTGAAACATTGTCACATTCTAATTGTAAGGGGTAAAAAGTAGTAGCTTAACAAAGTAGGGGGTTCCAGTTATGGGAGCTCCCCATGCTCTGCCAATTTATTTATATTTGCATTTTTATTATTATTAAATCTATTTAAAATTTTGATTTATATTTTCTAGATCAAATGTACTGGTATTGCAATCAGATTCATGTCCATTTCTCTTAAGTTGAATGTGTCTTTCCTCAGAATAATGCTTTGGTCTACCTGTTCATGATCTGGTAGAGATTATTAATACCTGTTGAGTCTGGAATTTTCAAAGTAACACAGGCAGTTTTAGGAGGATCCAAGGGTATAATTCCCTGTCTAAGTATCCCTCATAACTGTGAAAGACATATCTATATTGAATGAAAGTATTTATCCCAGGTAGTGTTGAGTAATTCCAAAATGCCCTCCCAAATCTCTCAAGTACTGTGAGTTGTGGTTCTGTGTTATTACTGTTACAGGTCACACAGTCATAGAACAAGAAAACCTGTCAACTCACGGTGCTACAAATTCTTATCTTAAATGAAAGTTCAGTTTTTCAACTTTCAGAAATGTTAGTATTGTGCACCATTGCTTTGGTTTGCTTTCTTATAGGTAATCCATTGTTTAAAAGTCAGAATTCATGGTTGTTGGACTGGTAGGAAATTCTGTCATGCTCAGTTTGATACAGTAAAACACTTCAGTATGAGATTATCTTGTCCAGTATGAACCATCTGCTTCTACAAATGCAGAATACTAGCCTGGCATCATGGTATGTATCAGTGCCAGGAGTGTGGGGCTGGCCTCAGTAGCCTTTGGAACATGCCCAGGGCTTGAGTGTTTTCCCTCTGTGACAGCACAAGAGAAGTGGTGTTCATAAGGTCATACTGACCAAGCCCATATGGACTTCGCATAGCTCATGTTTCTCCTCAGTACTCACAGTATGGTTGGCACAATTATTTTCCTGGTTACTCCATGCTACCAGCACCCCACTAGCCAGTACAGCTGGGACTATAATAAAAACAATTATGCTTGAAAGAGTTTATCAAATTCCTGTTTATTTGCTAATTGCCCACTTACTGCTGTACTCTGGGTGAGAAATGGACAAAAAGGGGAAAAAAACACCAAATAAATTACTAGGAAAATACTGTATAGGTTGATAGAATCAGTTGTGTCATGAACATTGCTTTACCAGCTTGAGTGTCAGCCTAGCTGTGGTCCTTCCCAGAGGTCACAGGATGCACCAGAGCCTGACCCCTGAGAAGGCTTCCTGCCCAAACCAGTAACGTATGCTGCCGGTTTTCTGCTTTCTCTTTGGTTTTGCAATCCACGTGCCCTTTCTGAATAAAACATTAATCAACTCAATGAGTACCCTGAACTCCATCAATTCATACTCCAGACCTTGACCTCTGCAAGGTTTTCTAGTGCTCTGCTGCTTTATGTGCATTATTGGTACAGCACAAGTGCTTGACTACACAGCTTATGCTTCCTCAGTCGTGCCAGTCTTTTTCTGTTTGACCGTTCTTCACTGAGCTGAATATTCTCTGATATTTTTTGTTTAGATTTTTTTTAAAGTTACATATCCTAAGAGCAGTATGACTCCAAGTGATTGTAACAATAGATTAAAGCTTCTTTCAAAACCTTTCTGAAGAGAAAGTCCATGTTAAGTTATATATGGTTTTCAACATGACATTACATTGCCGTCATTAAAGGGTAATGGTGCAAGCAAGATGCAAATCCTAATTTGGATTCCTAATGAAATTTGTCATGGCTTTTTATAATCAGTTGTATTTCTGCATCTTGGCTCTGCACTTCAAAAACAGTGCACATCACCCATCCTGAGAGTTTCTTTTGGCCACTGCGAAGAGGCGCTTAATGCACTGAGCATGCTGTCATGAGTTGAAGTTCAGCCGCTTACAGAGGAAGAATCTCTGGCTCTAACTTCTTGTCCTTTACGCCAAAAGCTGTAGCCAGGACATCATCTTAGATGTACATGACATCAGTTGGGTCTTCTACAATTTTCCTAACTTCTGCCATTCCCACTCCTCTTATTATGGTCTCAGCATGAATCCTTGTTCTCAGGGTGTTGAGGAACACATATTTTGCTCCTCGCTGAATAATTAGTAATACAGAAATAATATGTATTGCCCTTGCTTTAAAACACATTGGTCTCCAAGATGCCAACCAAAGATCTTATGGTATATTTAAAATGCAACGTTAATTGTGGGTTTAAATCCATTGCAGTGCATTTGAAAGTGGGATTAGTGGAGTCTTGTACTTGAACAGTCTCTTTCTCACTCTTTCTTTCTCTCTCTCTCCCTTTTATTATACATGTGTAACAGGCATTCGCCAAAAGTGGTGAAAGCAGCATCTCAGGTCCTCAATAGTATGTGGCAGTACAGGGACCTGAGAAGTCTCTACAAGAAGGTAAGGCTTGCATTTTTTCTAGATTTTTCATTTTTCTTGTGGTTACCCAAACCTGGGGGCTGAGAGACTTTAGACCAAAACATTTATGTGAACTGGAAATTAATCTAGAGTTTAAAATTTCAGATATTTGGAGCTACGAGTTTTTTTCCTCATTTCTACTTTTAGTGTAGAAATACCTTTTGAAAAGATGTGTGGTGGTGAAAAGGGGATGTGAATTTGATTTTCAAAAGTATTCATACAGGAAATGCTGGATCTGACAGCCCTGGAGAGTTAAGTCCTCTGTTCATAGAATAAACCTATGCAAGCTCTCCTACTGTACCTTTCCTTCTTACCCCTCCCGACCCTATCCTGTGGAGATTACCAGATTTCCAGCACTTCATCTCCCAAATTTCAGCATGAGATTGTAAACAAGAGTATCTGAAGGAGTGGTGCTTAGGGACCAGATACATGTGGAGCTGGTCTGAAACTTGATAGCTTCACTTCCAGTCAGCTGGCAGATGGGAGCAACTGTTTTCAGACAGTCTATGGAGTCTGTAGCACCATGCCATTCCCACAGGCCTCCTAACCTCTTGAAAATGAATCGCTACATGATAATACGATCCTGTGAAACAACATCCTATATAGCTTTTAAAACATGTGTCTACTTAGTAAATGGCAACATTTAAAGTAATTCTTGATTAATATTTCCAAACTGAATTGCATTCTGTGTATCATCCTGCAGATATAGTTCTCAAAGGTCTTCTTGCTACATGGAATTTCACAGCAGATCTAATTGATATTTGTATTTGTAATCTCAGCAAAGAGAGCTAAGACTTCGTGTGGCACAGAAGTTCAGGTCCTAGTTAAGGCTGAGGCATAAGAATAGTGAAGTAGTGAAGGATCACAGCAGTGTGGTCTGTGCTGTATGTATTTTGCACAAGAAAAGAACTTAAGTTGCCTGAAATGTATGCACCAAATCTCAGACTGGCAGAAGCTGACCTTCTGTTTGAAATGCTGTTCTTTTGCATGCCTCAGCCCTGCTTGTGGCAAGTCTGGGGAGTAAGGAAGATGGTTACTGAGTCTCTCCCATTGTTCACTTGCAGTATTTTCAGTCATCCTTGGCAGCTCTAGGGATACCATATGCGAAGATGTTCCGAATAACAAGCTGAGACTCAACTGTCCCATTAAGAGGTGGGAACAAACATGAGCTAGAGTAGGCTTTTCTTGACACAAGGCAATAACACACTGAAGTGTGCATAGCCTGATTTCTGTGCATGTGGGTGGCTGCACTGCAGAGGCTGAACTTTATTGCACTATAATCTCTTTGAAGGTCTTACAATGTCTGGCTCATTTCCAGCCTTCTGTCTACAGATATATGCTGTGGCAGAAAAGCAGTTTCTGGGGTTGCTCCATGCATGAGATAATCTATATGCTGTATGGCTTCTGAGTATACTGCTACCTAAAGGACATTCTGTTGGCTGCCAGTGTGAATGCCTGGTAATGTACTTACATGCTAAGCATGCTTGAGTACTAAGTACCTTGCATGCTTAAAAGAGCATTTTCTGCAGCCACAAATACATACTTGTGGTATGGAAAACAGGGCAGGCTAGCCTTTGAGGTAGCTTCCAGAACACTCATAGCAGACAGATTGCCTACATTCTCAGGAAGAATTTTATTAATCTCTACATTGGCTAATTCCTACAGGCTTCACAAAATCTTAAAGTGAAGGTCAGTCTCTGCTACATATTTAAATATTTCTTGTATACCATTACATATGCTGCTATGTATGTATATGTATGTTTTTATGATGGGAAAATGAGACAAGTTTGCATTATCATAATAGTCAGCTAGTTATGTAATATAAAGATAGTGGGTGAATGCAGTCTGCTAGTAAAAACAAGTGAAGGTACAGTTGACAGTAATGATATGATCAGCACTTTGCAGTATCTTGCACTTGGACGGCCATTTTTGAAGTGCAGGCAAATCCCACTGCATAACGATCAGCAATTTCTTCCTATGTGCTGAAGTATCTATACAATTACTTTCCAAGAATTGGTGGCCTACAGAGGCATAATTTTGTATTGTAATACGAGAAAATTACAAGCATCAAATCACATTCAAGAAAAAGCATCAGCACTTACCTTACTGTTTGAGAAACAGTACAACCAAATAGTTTGAAGTGTGGTATATCTTAGAGCTACATGTTTACAGTAGAGTAAGGAGGGAGAGGTAAAAAGAATGGAAGGATTATCCTTTGTATGAATGGGGAAAGAAGGCTATATATCGTTACTGCTGATACAGTAGTAGTCAATATATTTAGTCCAAATATTACTGTATCAGCAAAAACGTGAAAACCTCATTCAGTTTTCTTACTTTGCTCAGTATTACAGGAATCATCTCACAGCTGGCAGAATATAAACTGCACTGACAGAAAGTCCATCCAGAGTTGGGGATTGGTGTGGTCGCCTAATGACTTGCCACACTTGTGAAGGACCAAAAGCTGAGAAGTGTATAGGCACCAATATCCCACTTGCAGCGGTCCAAAGTAGACTCCTATGAAGTGGAGAGAAGTGCAGGAGTCAGAAGCTAGTCCCCCACCTGCTGCTAGTAAGGGGGTTGCCCTAAGCAGGGTATATGCAATGCTTCTTGCAAGCTCTAATCCCATCATGGGTGAACAAGCTCTTCAGCTCTAACCAAGGCTATAACATATGCCTATGTAGTGAAACCTAAATTAAGCCGCCTCTAAGGACACTGTCAAAATCAACTGTAGCAGAAAAAATAGACCAAATTTGACAGACTTCAGGGTGCCAGCTTCAGCTATGTTGCTTAAGAAGAGTAGTAATGTGCACAAATTTCATTGTGCTGCTCAGTGTTGGACAGATATTGCCTGTTTCTCTGGTCCATTCAAAGCCAAAAACCGCAGCAGCAACTGCAAGAACTCAGTTAACTTCACTGACCAAATAAAGCATATGCCCTGTCTCAAGGTCATAAGGCTAAGGATAAAAGCAGTATCTCTTGCCAACACAAAAATGTAAGGTCTTATAATCTTTTTTATCCTGAAAAATGCAAAATTATTCCACAAGTCAGTGAGATGGGAAGCACAAAAAAAATAAATCTAGTAAGCCATGTTAAGTTAGAGATGTTTCTGGAAAAAGAGTTTCTGGCTAGCCCTGGTGTGGTTTTGATCCTGGCTGGCAGTAACACACCAGACTGCCACTTGCTCACCCCTCTCCCCCCTCCCAGGGGGGACTATTAAAAGGGTAAAAAGAAAAGAGACTCATGGGTTGAGATACGAAGAAGTCAATAACTAAACTACAGTAACATTGAAAATAATAATGATGATAATAATAGTAATATATAGAAATACACAAATTAATGATACACAGTGATACTGCTCACCACTGGATGACCAAGGCTCAGCCCGTTCCCGGCTAATGATCCCAGAGCAGGGAGAGTCCCAAAACCACAATCCAGAAAAGAGATAAGAGCACGAGCATCCAAGAGAACAAGCACCAACTGAGAGTGCAAGATGACCTTGAGAGAGGGGCAACAGAGAGAGAGAGCACTTCAGGAGAAGACCCTCATCTATATTCTGGGCGTGACGTGCATGATATGGAATGGACCATTGGCCAATTTGGGTCTCAGTCGTAAACCCAAGGTCAAATCCTAGGCTAGTAATTGGGGCTGTGCTCCCTCCCAGCTTCTCCTGCCCCTGCAGACACTGGCACAGCAGAGGAGATGAAAAGCCCTTGACTGTCCTGGAAACAGCTATAAACATCAGTGTGTGATCAGCCTTCTCCTCAGCACAAATCCGAAACATAGCCTCATGCTAGCTGCTATGAAGAAAGTTAACTCTGTCTCAGATGAAACCAGGACAGCTTGTTAGGCTGGGCTGGCATGGAAAAGGCACAGAAAGTAAATAGTCAGCGTTCAGATCTGTGAGTGAGGTGACTGTTTACTGTCCATTGTAGGCTTGTGCTTTGGGTGTAAAAGAAGATTTCACTCCCTGGTGTGGTTAATTTGGCACTATCCTAACACAATCCAACAAGGAAAGTTGTAAAACACATATATGTTTCTGGTTCTAAAATTATAGGAAAAAAAAAAAAATCTTGACAGACCAAGAGGAAGCAATGGATTTAGTCTTGAAGTGAAGGAGTTGCCAGACATCCCAGAAGTTTAACTTGCAGGTACTTCATCATGGAAGAGTTCACAGGAAATACTGCTCTGTTTGCTGAGCAATAGCTGAAACAGAAACCAAGCTTGAAGATTGCCAAGAGGAAAAAAGGGTTCAGGTTCAGTCCTGTATAAACAGTGTTAAGCTTATTTAGTGTGATTGATTTCTAAATACTGCTAAGGCTAAGGAAAAAAGAGGTGATCATTATGATTTTTCATCTGTAGATGAAATATTGTCTCCCGAAGAGTGACTTTAATGTCATGTCATTGTCAAACTTCTTTGTTCTCTACAAAAAAGACTTATTTTTTCATAAGTCATTTATCTCTCTCTGTTTTCATGAGTCTATTCCAAAATACTTAAAATCCGATTTTCAAAAGTGCTTAATGTTCAGATGGTCCATAGTCCCGTGGATGGGTCAGTGGCATAGCACTTAAATAAAAACAGGTAGGGGAGCTATCCTGCTTGTCCCTGTTCTTCAGACTCATGGTACACCCCTCTTCTTCAAATATCTTGGTAACCTGTACAGTCAGCAGGAGAATTAAGTGCTGCTTGCAGTCTCCAGAGAGACGTCCTGTCCCGTTTATTTTTGGCCACCTAAGCAAAGTGAAAGGAGCTACTATGGTGATTTTTTAAAGACACCTATTTCAAGGTGAGGAACACTGGACCCCACTCCAGTCTGTAGAGTATTAATTGGCTGAAGATTTGGGAACACCTTGGAAAATACAGATGTGACTGTAAGAGAGTAGATTTCCCTTAGATGGTAAACTCTTACTCAAGAAAATAACTGACTACTCGTAGACACAGATAGCTTGTTAAATTACATGAGGAAATTTGAGCAAAAGGATCG